CGGGTTTCAGTTGTGACGGTCTGGTCATGAATCTAACTGAGAATCAATTGGAGTGTGAATGAGCCTCAGTAGTACGAGCGCGTCTCTGCGCATGACCCTGGGTCCTCCTGGGGCCTCCTGGGGCCTCCTGGGGACCTACTGGGGCTTCTTGGGGCCTCCAGGAGCCTCTTTGGGCCCCCTGGGGCCTCCTGGGACCTCCTAGGGAGGATTCGTGCCCGAGGAGAGGCCCAATCTATAGCAACAGTCGCACATAAAACATTGCGACTTGGAGCCGCAGAAAAAAGGGGCAATCTATAGGAACACGCGTACAACACCAAGGAGTCGTGCCCTAGGAGAGGCCCTATAGGAACATAAGTACACAGGATATGGACAATCTATAAAAACATACGTATAACATCAAGGATTCGTGCCCCAGGTGAGGCCCAATATATGAGAGCATACGTAAAACACATGGGATTGGACCCACCCCTGTTGCCTTCTGAGGCCTCCTGCTCCTGGGGCCTCTCGGGGCCTCCTGTTGCCCTCCGGAGACCTCCTGGCGCTTCCTCTGGCCTCCTGGGGCCTCCTGTGGCTTCCTGAAGCCTCCAGGAGCTTCCTGGGGCCTCCTAGAGCCTCTTGGGGCATCCTGTGGCCTCTTGGGTCTTTCTGTGGCATCCTGATTCATCCTGGGACCTCATGTGGTCTCCTGGGCCTCTTGGAACCTGTTGGAGCCTCCTGTGGCATCCCCAGGAAAACCAGCGCCCACGAGTCTGGCCACCGATCGAGACATCCTCAAAATCTGGCCCACCTGGGGGGGTGAAATGGAGCGCCTCGCTCGAGACATCCTCCAAATCTACTCCGAGAGCGAAGGATGCTGGGACAGAAAGCAAGCACGACGCTTGAGACATCCCCACAAAACGGTTGCGAACGGGACCGTGAGAGAACCATTGGCGGCTCCCCTTAGGGTGGTGAAAATGAGCGACCCCACCAGTCCTCCTGCCAAGGGAACCTGGCTGTGGTTTTCGGCGACGCACCAGCGCCCTTGGCTAACAGCGTTGCAACGCACGCGCTGCATTACGCGGAAGTAGTAAGATGATATGTTTCTGACATGATGCGTGGGCGCGCACGGCGCGGGCCTACATGGCGCGTCGAAGGCGCCTGACACACGCCCGCGATACTATTCACGACCGAAATCGGAAAATTAGCTCCGGCGGCGCACATGCGGTGGGACACGCGTGCGTTCGGCATCACCCGCGCGAGGTGGCTAACAATTTCGCGGCGTTGCGCTAAAAATGCCATTGTGCCCAACATCGTTTCGAAGCGCGCTGCGGTGCGCCGCGCAAGCGCGCGTGGACTGCGGCCTGCATGCGGCCCGCGCACTAGTACGAGCGATTGAATCTGAAAGGGCAAGGCGCGGCACGTGCGCCATGAAAACGCGGCACACGGCAGAAGCAGTTACGAGAAGGAAACTCGCGCGATTCGCGTGCCTCCGTCGACCGAAATCGCTAAATCAGGGCAAGCGATCGGCGACGACCGCGTTTGACGCCACCAATAAATACATGAAAAAATGCAAAAACAAATTTGTCGAGGCCCTCGTTTTGTTTCCTGGTGGGCGCAACACCTGACTGCTGCTGGCCGGCGAGGTGTCGAAAGCCACGGCCGCCCTATCCGGGAAGTCGGACATGGAGGGTCGGCCAGGCACCGCCGAGAAGCTCAAGGCGCTGTTCGACCCTGATGTTTCCAGACTGGCGATGGCCCCGCCTGCGGGCATGGAGGTGGAAGCGCCGGACGCGCAGCAGAGATCCGCCATTGAAAGGGAAATCGCTGCACGCATTTCTCGCTTTCCGCGGCTTGCTGGGGCGGGGCCGTCAGGGTCCAGGTACGAGCATTGGGGGACGTTGCGACATCACCCCGAAGGCTTGCAGGCAGCCGGCGTCGTCCTCACCAGTCTTTTGTTCGGAGAGGTGCCGGAGGACATTCTCCAGGCTCATGTTCTCATGTTGGTGGCCGTTTGATGGCTCTGAAGAAAGCTGAGGGAGGCGTCAGGCCGCTATCCTGTGGCAGCATTCTGCGGCGCATCATCGCCCGGGCGGTGTGCAAAGTGGAGGCTGACGCACTCCGCGAGCTGGGGGGCCCACACCAATATGGCATATCCAGGCCGGCTGGAGTGGAGGTCATGCACAAAATCCTCGTGGCGTCAGCTGAAGAGCGCCCTGCTGCAGCGTTCTTATCTTTTGATTGTAAAAATGCATTCAACATGATTACGCGGCCGGCAATACGGACAGCTTGTGCAGGAACGCTCCTGGGTCGCATAGCTGATGCGTGGTAAAGTGGTTCATCTACGCATTGGTTTTGGGATTCTTCCGGAAAGGCTTGGCCAGTTCAGTCCGCCAGGGGAGTTGACCAAGGCTGCCCTTTGAGCCCGGGATTGTTCTGCGCGGCGCTGGCCCCGGCATTGGCGACTATCGATCAGCGGCTTCGTTCTGTAGATCCGCAGGCGCGGGTGCATGCCTACCTGGACGATGTTTTTGTCGTCATCGATTCTCGCTTCGCCGCGGAAGCCGTCACTGTCACGAGGGAGGCACTGCAGGGCATCGGTTTGGAGCTCCAGCTTGCCAAGTCCAAACTGTGGGTGCCCAGCCAGGCTGCACCGATGCCGGCGCAGGTCGATATCCAGAGGGTTAACGAGCTGCGATGCCTCGGAAACGCCATGCGCTTCACCACAGCGGCTCTCGACGAAGACGACCAGCATCGCCTCGGGGCCCCTCTTGTGCCAGACAGCCGTTTCCAGGCGTCGCTGGAGGCCTTGGACGTGTTCCTGGGGAGGACGCGAGCACTGCTAGCCGCGGGGCTGCGCGTTCAGACCGCTTTCACGTTGCTCCGCACCTTCGTCGGCGGGGCCAACAACCACCTGCTCAGAGGGTGCTTTGCGAACGAGGAGTGGTGCGAAGAATACGACGGCCGAGTGGTTGCCTTCCTGGAGCAGCTTCTGGGCGCCCAGCTCACCCTGCAACAGCAACGGCTGCTGTGGTTGCCGTGCCGGGAC